GACCAGGCTAGATGGTGGCGTGCGAGGTATGATGGACAGAGGGAGATGGCACCTCCCCATGGATGTAAGTTTGCATTCATCTCAAAAGTGTGAGCAGTGGAGAGAATAGTCTGCTGAAATCCAATGCCATAGTCCTGATGTTGCCACAGGCAGGTCTCTGAATTCTAGGCCCTTGGTTTTCTACCAAAAGATAAGTGGGTTGGACTAAACCTGCTTGGTTTCTTGACTCATTGTCCAGCTCTGTGTACGCCGCCTGGCATGGTAGCCTCGGGTCACATGTGGCTTTTGAGCTCTGAACTGTGCTAGTCTCTGTTAATGTGTCTGTAGAAGATACACACTGGATTCAGAGACTTAGTATGAAAAAAAATGAATGGGAATAGCTCCTCAATAATTGTGTAATACTAAAGTGAAAATAATATTTTATATTTCTAGGGGAAATAAAATGTATTGTTAAAATTAATTTTACCTCTCTTTATATGTAGTAACTAGAAAATTTTAATTTGCAATGTGGAGTTATACATACATACATATATATATATATATATATATATATATATATCACACACATAGAGAGAGAGGCAGGGTCTTGCTCTGTTACCCAGAGTCCAGTGTATAGTGTGGCACAGTCATGGCTCAATACAGCCTCAAACTCCTGGGTTCAAGCAGTCCTCCTACCTCAGCCTCCAGTATTGGCGACTACAGGCATGTGCCACCATGTCCTAATTTTTTTTTTTTTAATAGAAAGGAATCTCACTATGTTGCACAGGCTGGTCTCAAATTCCTAATCTCAAGCGATCTTCCTGCCTCAGCCTCCCAAAGTGTTGGGATTACAGACATGAGCCACTGTACCTGCCCATATTATATTTCTGTTGGATAGTGTTGATCTATATGATTCTATCAAAAACAAATTGTCCCTTAATTTATCAGCCATTATTCAGTTGGCCTATAAATTAGCATACATTCATTCATTATTTTATTTTTATTCATTTATTTATTTATATTCTATTTTTTCAGAATAATTTCTTTATACACAAAAGTACATGTGCTACAACAATACAATTTATTTTAAAAGTAACTTGCATAGGGAAAAGTAAGATAAAGCAAAAACTAAGTAATGTTGGTACTTAAAACAACGTACCTTCATAGTAGGTATAATAGTGACCTTTCAGTGAAAACCGAGAGCACAGTGCCTAAAGGGTCTGGGTTCAAATCCCAGCTCTACCATTTCTCATTTTTAACAAACTACTTAATCTCTTTGTGTCTCAGTTTTCTCACCCATAAAATGGACACACACAAACACATACATATATACGTGTGCCTCTTTGGAACACTGGGGGGATCACATTTAAGTGTATTTCAAGTCCTTAGTAAATAAAAATGGTTATTGTTACCATTTTGTATATTTAAAGCAAGTTTTGTGGGAGTCTTCTCCACGTGTGTTTTGCTGGCAAGCTTGTTCATCCAAAGATGACTTCTGTTATATTTTGAAAAATGGGTGGACTATATGGATTATACTTTAGGCGATCCTTCCTAGGATCATATTTATCTGAAAGAGACTTACGATATATCATAGTGTGACGGTGTGTTGGAAATTTTCTCCTGTGCCACATCCCTGGAAATAGCTCTGCCCTGTAGCTGAATAAGACAGAGTCCTGCTAGCAGTCATCCTCCAGAAGGTTTGAAGGTCAAGTAGAACTCACGTGTATAGAAAACTCCTCACCTCTGCTGATGCCTAGTCAGCAGACGCTGTCATCTTCCAGGAGACCTTTGAGTAATGTCAGCTCAGGCTTCGTAGTGCAAACTCATTCCCATAACTGTCGGTCCCCTTTCTAACTGCATGTATCAATTTAACATCCAGTTTTCTTTTTCTGGGCTCGACTTCAAATGCCTGAGACCTGACAAATTCATATTCTCAGCAAGCACATGCTTTTGCACACTCAGAAAAATCTCTTGAAAATATGCTACGTTCATAGAATAACTGGTGACGCTAAATATCCCAAACCAGTTATCAAGGTGGTTCATTTTCTTGTGCATTAAAAACAAATTTAAAATGAGTTTAAAATTTTAAGACAGAATCAGTGGATTTCTCTCATACTTCTAATAGTACAATTTATTTAAAACACCTAAGCAAATATGTTTATTATCCCTAAACTTCCCATTTATGTTTTGATAATGTGTATTGTATTTATGTGTTCCTCTTGCTCTTTCATTTTAAGCCCTCCCAGTATAGCAGAGACTCATTAAGAGAACAACTTCACAGTCTCACATGATTTAAGGCTGAAGTGTCTGCAGTGACTGTCTCCTGTGGACTGACTGTTGGTTAGTGACCAGAACCTGAGACCAGGACTCAGGATCTGGGAACAGGCTATGTCCAGGGTGTTTGGCTTTGAACCACAATGGGCGGTTGCTCCTCTCAGCTGTCATGCATCAGGGTGTCCACATCCCCTGCAGACAGGGCTGGTTTTTCAACCTCTGTCTCCTCAGTGGACATTGAACCTTCCGGAATTACTTCATCTGATTTGGGTGCATGAACAGCTGCAGCCTGTCCTCTGGTTGCTGCTAGCTTTCTCCAATTAGCTTCCTCCCTCCTAGCTTGAATTCTATATTTCTTTATACTTTATCTGTTCTACAGTTTCTGAACTCTTAGTGATATTTTGATGACACCCAATTTTATTCTGAAAATGTCACACATCTCTATTCAAAGTTAAAATAACACCAACAAAGATCACCCTGAAATGTTTAGCTAAGCAATTTAATTTGGGGGTGCCAGCCTCAGGACAAACAAGTTTCAGGATTTATATAATGAGTCTATTGCTCTGTAGAGTTGTTAACCATCAGTCACTTACATACCAGTAGGCAGTTACCTCCAAATGGTGTCTTTGGCTGATGAGGGCTGAATTTGAGGCTATTCCTTCTCCTGGTTCCAAACAATAAAACAAGCAGGGATATAGCAGTGACTTGTGAGCCTATTTTTTGTAAAAATAATAGCAAGCCATTAAAGTACCTCTAGAAAGAGAATGTGAAGGAAGGATAGGACATTTAACTGTTTTGATTCTCTGGAAATTATTTTGAGATCCATCAAGAGTTCATTTCTACCAGTCCTGATTTGGGGGAGGAAGAAAGAGAAACAGGGAAGGAAATAGGAAGAGAAGGAAGGAAAGGAAGGAAGGGAGGAGGCACAAAAGGAAGGAGGTGTCATTTCTAATGGATGTGTCCAGAGTGGAACGGACCATGAGAGCTGTCCTTTCAATAAATCCTGCTTTAAAAAAAGAAAGAAAGAAAGAGATGACCACCCCCAAAATCCTTTCTGAGCCTTTTGTAGGCCCACGAATCCAACAGATCCAGTAGAAAGTTGACATTTATTAAGAAGCCGTGTCTGGTAACCTGATAGGTCTGTAATTATCCAAGTGGACTTTCCTTTTTAGGTGAGTATTCTGTTCTCAAGGTCCAAGCAGAAGGAAGCCCATCACTCCCTCCTCAGGGCTTAAGTTGTCCCAGGAGCACATAGGTGCTGCCGCAGTTCATGGGGTGTTAAACCCTTAGATACATGAAGAACTGGGGGGACAGGCCACAGTCTCAGCGGGGCACAGCCAGCCCTCATGGGCTAGAGATTCGTCATGGACTCTGAACCCACTTGGACTCCTCGGAGGTGTGCTTTCCTTACTTTCTCACGACCCCGCCTCAATACTGTCCGTTTCTTGGTGTGGAGAGCAGGGAAAGGAAGCCTCTGGGAATCAGCAGAGACTGAGCCTCTGCAGCCTACCCCGCAGCACAGTGTAAGAGCCATGTGGCCTCGACCCTCCTCGGTGCTGGACACACACGTCTGTATGCAGTTACTAGCCATGAGTGTTTTTCTGGCAGTGAGAATTCGATAGAGTTTTATAGACGTGACCTTTCAAATGTTGCCTGGCCAGGGTTTGGACTACCAAAAGTCCTTTACAGATAATGCAATGGAATGGCAACAATCAGGAAACAGTTTTCTTATTACTGTCCTACTTTTTTAAAAGTGGTAGTGATGGTATCCTAAAAGCATTGTCACAAAGGCAGTGCAATGGGGAGTAGGACAAGATTGTTATGTGTCATTCACTGCAGCCTATTTATAAACTTTAACCCAGTGTTCATATATCTAAGTACTGCTGTACTGCTGTACTTTATTGGGATTATAGATGAAACTCTTTAAAATTCCTTGATTCAGAAATCTGTAACCAGCAGGGATCCGGATCACCGGGTCCAGTTACTCCTCAGGCACACCTAGTTAAAGACTGGGCTGCAGAGATGTTCCATATTTCTTCCCAGGTAGAACTTTCTGGGCACTTTTCCTGGAACATGAGTCTGAAGCAAAAACACAAACCCCAGAAGGTGAATTGTGACTGGATGGATAGTGAGAAATCCATAGTGGCTTAACCATCCAGAGAGAACATGGCTCCATTTCAAAGGGGTGAAGTGGAAGCAGAGGTGAGACTCAGCTCCATGACATTCCCAGAGCTGTGAAGTGGAAACACTGGTCATGTCTTTCCTAGAGACTTATGCCCATGTCCCAAAGCGCAAGAGCCCTAGATCCTGCCAAGCAAGTTTACATTAAGGATCTGTCTCCCCCTCTCGGGCGGGAATGACTGCCCTGCTTGTCCCACCACCCAGAGTCACGTTTCCGGAGTTTCTCACCTACAGCGTTGACCGAGTGTGTGGGGACATCCACTTCTCACTGTGTCACCCGAAAGGGAGAAACTGGGACTTGGGGAATGGTTATAACAATTTCCCATAAGTAAATAATCTTTTCTGCTCTGGGGACCTCATACTCGAATTCAAGATAATGGTGGTAAATATAGATACTAAGAATTTCCAGAGAGTCTGCTCAGAGCCATGTTAACATGCAAATCTCAGACCACCTCCTCTACCCCCTACCCAAATTCTGATTCAGTGCATCTGGGAGCCAGGATCTGTGCCTGGGCAGCAGCCCCCGGTGACCCTCTCGGCGTGTCTGGGCAACACCGCCCTGGTCCATGGCCCAGGAATATCAGGTGCCTTCTGCAGACACAGCTCCCTCCAGCCAGGCCATCCTTGAGCCATGCTCCCTCCCCCTCAATGGCAAGTGGGTGCATTCCAGGAGACGGATTTTGTTTAGTTTAGACTTTAGGACAAAACTGAAGGTTGATATGTCTCTGGTTGGTCTTTATTACCCTTGAAGACCCCTTTGTTTTGTTTTTAAAGAAATACACTGGTGAACTTGTCAGGCCTCCTGGAAGTGTGACTGCAACCAGCAGTTTTACTTACTCTGAATGCGGATCTCAACGTTTTGTCAAAACATTTTGTCAACACATCACCCCTCCTTTATTCTCTGGAGCTGTCATTCTTACCATCCCTTTACATTTGTACTTCCTAGGTTATAAGATGCTTTTACATTTATTATCCAATTTGATTCTCATATTAATATTTGGAAATATACAGGAATTGTTAGGCATGAGAAGACTGAAGTTCAGTGGGCCAAGAGCCATCCAACCATGGTATTCAGGCACTTTTACTTGAAAGGGAATCTGTGTTGTCTATCAAATAATAGACATGCCACCACGTATCGCCGGACACACTGAGGTCAACCTCTTCCAACATGCACGTAAACCCTGCACAGTCCTACTTTGGTTCCTGGTGATTTATTTTCTTTTAACCAGAAGATAATTACCAATATGGAAATGCCTACACTAAGAGAAGAAATCTGTTGTCCGACTGTTCCTTGGCAGACTGAATCCTTTCATTGTTAAACAATAAACATAGACCTCTATACTTGGACAGTTTTCACAGCACTTTCACACATATCATCTCACTTAATTCTTTTTTTTTTGAGTTGGAGTCTCTCTCTGTCGCCCAGACTGGAGGGCAGTGGCACGCTCCTGGCCACTGCAGCCTCGACCTGCTGGGCTCCGGTGATCCTTCTGCCTCAGCCTTCCAAGTAGCTGGAACTACAAGCGTGTGCTACCATGCCCGGCTAATTTTTGATTTATTGTAGAGATGAGGTCTCGCCAAGTTGCCCAGGCGGGTCTCGAACCCACGGGCTCAGCCAATTCACTCACCTCAGCCTCCCAAAGTGCTGGGATTACAGGCTAAGCCACCGAGCCCAGCTATCTCACTTAATTCTTAACAAATACATAGGAGATACATCGAAATACCCACCTTTTATGGTTGGGAAACCGGGACTGAGAGAAGACGCTGGGCCTTGTGCTTAGGTGCTGGTCCCCTGGACCTCCAGGTGGGGCAGACATGAGGGCCTCAGGCCTCGGGCTCCTCCTGCAGAGAGGCACTCAGAAAACCAGTATGCTGTGTGTTTTGCTTCACATACCACCAGCCCTGAAGTTATTTAAATATGTCATTCTCTGAAGTCTCCGACCTATGGGACCATGAGTTCCAAGGAATGAAAAATTGCTGATTGGGTCAATATCCCTGGTGCTGTGGCACTGACGTGTCACCCACATGAACGATGTTGTGTTCACCAACTGGATAGGAGTTTCTTAAACTGTGGCCCTCTCTGATTATAATTCATCTACATACATTTATCAGGCGCTTTTGGTAAATTCACCATGCCAATAGCAATATAAAAATGTCAACCATTGTCTTGGAATCCATTTAGATGTAAACAAAGACAACCACGAAGACTAGTATAGTCAAAAGCGCAGCATTTGGGCACTGTTGAGTAGAATAATTTCTCCAAATGTTACTTCAAACTATATTGAGTCCTTTCAGAATTCAGTTCAGTAAGTCTTAAATCTACCTTGCTTTGTCTGACATTCTCTTTCTTTTCACAAAACAGGATCTTGAGGTGCAGGCTGGACAACTGGAGACCCAGGCCCGCGCCCCCAACTCCGGCCTCCGCCCGCCCCGCGTGCACACCTTTCTCGTGGTTTAGCGACAGCCGGAAGGGATCCTATTCCTTCAGGAACCTGCCTTCACCTACAAGCTCCCCCCAGCCTTCTCCTGAGACTCTAATTTCAGATAAAAAGGGGTTCAAGGTAGAAAACACATGGATTAAGAAAACAAACAAGAGAAACCCCAATCCCTCCTCCTCTTCAGTACTTGGAAGTCATTCTCAACTTGAGTTTGTAGTCGGGACCAAAAAACCAATGCGATAACACAGCAGTAAACAATGCATGTTGTTTCTTGTGTGAGAAGAAAGAGCGCCTCGCTTCCTCATCCCCTCCTTAACACTATTCCTTTCTGATTGTACAGTACTCTTTGATCTGCCTGTCTTTCCACATACTGCTGTTTAATCTTGGTTTGACAGTTAAGCCACTCTGGGAGAGGTGAATTTGAATCATAGCACAGAATGATAGATCTGTTTACCAAGTATTCTGCTTTAAATTTACACTGCAGAACGATGTCACTGTGCTTCTCAGGATTTGCTGGAAAACTAATACATTTGGGACTGAGTATGTGATCAGTACATCTAAGTGAACGTCTTTAAAACAGGCCAATATGCTAGCCGGGCTCAGTGGCTCAGCCTGTAATCCCACGCTTTGGGAGGCTGAGGTGAGTGGATTACCTGAGCCCGCGGGATCGAGACCCGCCTGGGCAACTTGGCGAGACCTCATCTCTACAACAAATCAAAAAATTAGCTGGGTGTGGTAGCGCGCGTCTTTAGTTCCAGCTATTTGGAAGGCTGAGGTGGAAGGATCACTGGAGCCCAGCAGGTTGAGGCTGCGGTGGCCGGGAGCGTGCCACTGCACTCCAGTCTGGGCGACAGAGTGAGACTCCAACTCGAAAAAAAAAACCAAAAAAAATCAGGCCAATGCTGACATATCACCCTAACTTATTCCTTCTTTTAACATCACACCTTCATGTTGAACAACTGTTGTGATTCTGTCATGAAAGTTTTTAGCTTTAGCAGAGTTAGGAATTACACGCATGGGTGTTATTGCTTTTAAATGCATGACGGTTATTCTAGCATGACGCTGCAAATCTCTGCTAACATTTTATGGGAACACTTATAGTGGCTAACTTTCACTCTTTTTGTCTCCTTTTATCTGTGTTCAACTTTTATTTCTCAAACAGAAATATGTGATTAATGTTACGTGAATTTAATCATTTTCTTAAGATCAACAGCTCACAGAGTTTTGACGGGGGTTGGGCCTGTGTCTCTGTTGGCCAATCCCCCCATGGAGTCTGTGTTCGGTGCCCTGCTACCCAGCTGTTCTGCTGGCCATGCTGCCTGTGCTCTGGCTTAGACTCCTTTTCTGAAACCTCAGCGAGACTTGGAATTAGACTGATGAATTCTCCAGCCTTGGGCATAGTATTTATTTCCTGTGAACACCTAAACCCACTACAAAGGATCGTGATCAGTGCAGTTCCTAGGGTGGTGGAACAAGATGGTGTTGGCCAAGAACTCAAAGTCCCCAGGAGCCCAGGAGTCTGGTCAGGACTAAGTCCAGTTCCTAGGGAGGTGAACAGGATGGTGTTGGTCAGGTGCTCAGAGTCCCCGAGCCCAGGAGCCTGGTTAGGACCAAGTCCAGTTGCTAGGGAGGTGAAACAAGATGGTGCTGGCCTAGGGCTCAGAATCCCTGGGAACCCAGGAGCCTGGTCAGGACTAAGTCCAGTTCCTGAGAAGGTGGAACAAGATAGTATTGGTTAGGTGCTCAGAGTCCCCAGGAGCCTAGGAGCCTGGTCAGAACTAAATCCATTTCCTCGGAAGGTGAACAGGATGGTGTTGTTCAGGTGCTCAGAGGCTCCAGGAGCCCAGCCATTCTCACATTACTAGCAAAAGAAGCTTTAACAGCAACAGATCACTTTGTCCCAGTATTGGGTCTGAGATATCCAAATGTTGCCTGAATATTTCTACCATAATATCTTGCATGGAGGGTACTCCAGATTGGCTAAAATCACTTTCACAGTGTAGCCATGTGGTCCTGGTTAAGCTGTTTGGTTTTAATATCCACTGAGTGCTTTGGTAAAGTTTCAGGGAAGTTTTATTAACACCCCCACCCCACCCCACCCCCCCGTGTTCATCTGGGAGCATGTCTGTTCTGTCTGGGCCTATCTGACACTCTGCTGTTGTGCACAATTGTTGCATCTTAGCATGTAACTCCCAGTGCAGTGTCAGCCCGGGAACCCCCTCAGAACTTGTCATCTGGAAGGGCACAGCCAGGAGAGGGTCTGCTGTCTCTCACTTGTCTCATCATGGCCAACCACTGGTGGTCCCTCCCCAGGGCGCCCTGACTCCCTCTCGAATGGGACTTGCCATCTGTTCCTGATGGCTCAGCCTCTTCACACCATCTTGTATTTTACTTACATGTTCCCCATTACTGTCAGTGTCAAAGAAGATAGGCTTGTTAATATCACTCCTCTGAGCAGCTGTAGAGGACAATGAATTCTGTACCCTTGATGAGAGTGTGGGGAATCGTGTCTCTAGAAGCACCTGCCTTTGCATCAGATGGAGAAAGTGCCAGAGTTCCCCTCCACTGCTAAGGGTGCCCCGTCACTCTCCAGAAAGGCCATCCACCAAACCAAAGGTGCATTTCCTCCTCGGAGAGTGTCCAGAAGCCTGACCAGAGCTTGCAGACAGCCTGCCTCCTGCCCACTCCTACCTGTGCTGATGTAACGCTGAACTTCATTTATTTTTTATAGAATTTTGCCCTCAATGATGACTTCAGCCCCAGCAGCACGAGTTCAGCAGATCTGAGTGGCTTGGGAGCAGAACCCAAAACACCCGGGCTCTCTCAGTCCCTGGCACTGTCATCAGACGAGGTACTCGTGGGATGTGACAACTGCTCTCACAAGTCAGGCTGGGAGCTGTCCCGGGGGTATTCTTGGGGATTCTGCATGAAATCATCAGGACCGTGGCTTTCCATTTAACAGAAAGTCTTCATGAGGTTTCTCCCTCTCTATCTCCCCATGAAAGCAAACACATGCCCACATGTATATGTGTGTGCTTATATGTAAATGCAAGTGGGGAGAGGCTGAGCGCTGGAGAGCAAGGATAGGAGGCCCACTCGGGATCACGTGGATGTTTCTGGGTTAATTAACCCTTTCCTTGCTTCCCCAGTCATCCACCCATCATAGTTCTCCCACCAAGGAGGGGGTGGCCCTGTGAGGCCCCGCCTGGACAGGCGAGCTCTGGTCAGGAAGGAAGTGGGTGAGACCACGTGCCAGCAGCTGGGGTTGGCCGCATTGCTGAGAGTTACTAGGAAACTTGCATAGGTGAGCAGGCAGTGGCATTAACCCCCTGCTCAGTCCCGGCGGTGGGTAGGGCAGGAGGCACAGGAGGCTTCCTTCCGTGAAGCTTTATGTTTTCTGTAAAGATTTGTTCTCACCGATTTCTTTTTGACTCGAGGTTCATTTTGGGACCTCTGCTTTTTCATGCCTTTCCCACCGTGTTCTTGGCACTTGGCGAGCCTGTCCTGTTACTATGTGCCCTATGTGTTGCTTCTCCTGTCTCTGTAACACTTTTCTTCTTGATTCTTCCACTGCCCTCGCTCAGAGCCTGGATATGATAGACGATGAGGTAAGCTCCACGGGCGTTAGTGCTGTCGTTTGACCTGCTCTCTTCTCTCTGTAGACAACATAGGACACTTTCCTCTGTGGGGAGGTCTCCAGGTGTCATGCCGCTGCTCTCTCTACCCTCGTCCTGATCTTAAAGATACTCCCGAGTCCCCCTCCAGGGCTCCTCAGTGCGTGTCCCTGTGCCATGCCCTTGATGCAGTCCGTTCTCTTCCTCCCCCTTCCTTCATGGTTGCCTGCCCCTCCCTGCTCCTGGGCTCCTCATGTGATCATTGATCAACTCCTGCCTTGCCCCCAAGTCCTGGTGTCTCCTTCACCCCCTTCAGCATAGCAGCTACAGGAACCAGCCTGCCCCTCTGCCCTCTTGAAAGGAACATTATGCCATAAACAGAGCAGGGAATTTGGAAGAGGCCCCTAAAGGTTGCAGCCTCCCACTTGCCAGCTGTGCGATCTTGGACAGATCACATAGACTCCAGAGCCGCCTCCTTATTTATTACAAGCACTGACTGGCATCACCTGTCCGGCCCCCCTCAGGTGTGCTTGCAGTGCTTCTCTCACGGTGGCTGAAGGTTACCTTGAGAAGGCTCAGGGACCAGTGTCCACCTCCAAGTGGACAGTGCCTCTGTGTCATTTGATGCATTCCTAGAAAACCCCCATGTCTCACCCAAGGACAAAGGCAGCGTCCAGGGGGTTTTAATGTCAAAGACTGCAACATTCGAGCATATTTTCTCCACCGTCAAGCTTCCTGCATGATTAATGCTGCTTTATTTGGGGGAATCTTTAAAGTTCCAAATACCTAAAAACATGTAGGTAATATGTATTTTTTTTTTAAGTTCAACTAGAGCCACTTGTTATTTTATGGTCTAAAAACAGACATGGCTCTCAGGGTGGGGCAGCTCCTTTGGTAGCACGTCACGAGCCCTTAACGTGCTCCATCCCATTCCCACCCAGATCCTAGACGACGGGCAGTCCCCCAAGCACAGCCAGACCCAGAGCCGTGCTGTGTCTGAGTGGAGTGCGCAGCAGGTGGCCCACTGGCTGCTGGGCCTGGGCCTGGAGCAGCACGTGTCCGCGTTCAATGCCCAGAACATCACCGGTGAGCAGCTCCTGCAGCTGGACAGCAACAGGCTGAAGGTAAGGGCCATGCTCCTACAGCAGGGCCAGGCAGCATCTGTGCCCCGCAGAACCCCTGAGGTGTTTTCATTAGACAAGAGCTCTGGGCGGGCATGGTGGCTCATATCTGTAATCCTAGCACTTTGGGAGGCCGAGGCAGAAGGATCGCTTGAACCCAGGAGTTCGAGACCAACCTGGGCAGCAAAGTGAGACCTCATCTCTTCAAAAAATCAAAAACTTAGCTGGGTTTGGTGGCGCATGCCTGTAGTCCCAGCTACTTGGGAGGCTGAGGCAGGAGGATCACCTGAGCCCAGGAGGCTGAGGTTGCGGCGAGTTGTGATCATACCACTGCACTCCAGTCTGGGATACAGAGTAAGACCCCAACTCAAAAAAAGAGAGTGCTGGGCATATCCAAGAGGGTAATCCTGTGAGCATCAGCAGCAAAGGCGTGGCGTTGCCTGGGGCAGTAGATGAAGGTGCACCATGCCCATCGGGCTCTCCATCAGGGCTAGTGGACACTGAGGGACCTGTCCAACGGTGACACCTGGCAGCACAGGGTCCATGTGTCAACTCAGCCCGCTTCAACATGGAGTGGGTTTCAGTTGTGGCTAGTGCGGGCTTTTCCATCACAGCAGAGATCCTCTCATCCTCTCTGCATTCACGTCTGCTCACCCTACCCCCCTATGGTTCCCAACCTGGGCAACTTTTGCCCAGAATGTTCTTCCCCAGATAAGCAGAGGCCTCATCTCCCCTCCCCATGGTGCACTCATTTCCCCTTGTCCAGTTATCTCTCTCGGAGGCTGGGGCACCCACCAGGTGGGCAAAGCAAAGGAGCTCATAGCCAGATCTGTGTGCCCGCCTCCCCGCCTCAGCCCCCTGCAAGACTGACGGACAGATGAGCATCTCCTGTCAGCCCTGAAAAGGTTAGAAATCAATCAGGAACTTGTGGATATGATGGCCCCATTGACAAGGCTGTCACCGCTGGGGAGACAGATGCATCAGTTGTTGGTTCTGAAGGTCACAGAGCACTGAGCATCCATGACCACCTCGCCTTGTTCTAAATTCCAAGCCCGTGGGGAATCCCCTCATTATAACCATAGACTGACCTGAGCTTTCTGGCCCCCAGGACACTCTGGCTCTTGCTGTCAATTTATACGCTGGCAGAAAGCCACACATCCTTCCTGTCCTTCAGGCGGCTCTGTGGTGGCAGTGCCCGCTCCCACTCATATGCTGATGAGTTCAGCCGCTTTCTCCTGTAAATGTTGCAACCCACAGGTCGGAGGAGTAGCGGTGTGCCCCTCCACTCATCCATCTAGGAATCACCCATTTGGGGTGCATCTCGTAATGAGCTTGAGGATTTGCTTTGCAAGGGACTTCAAGGAACACAAGATATGCCTCGCACAGGCCCCCAGAGCATGGACTTCTAGCACATGCAATCGCTTCTCCTCTGATCTTACCACTTCTGTGCAGGTTTAAATTGATTCGTGGGCTTGGGCGTATTGTGACATCGCCATCCTCAGCAGGTCCTTGGTTCTCAAGTTCTGTCTGTGTGCTGCTTCCTTCTCAGGCCCTTGGAATGACATCCTCCCAGGACCGAGCCATGGTGAAAAAAAAACTCAAGGAGATGAAGCTGTCCCTCGAGAAGGCTCGGAAGGCCCAAGAGAAGATGGAGAAACAGCGAGAAAAGCTCAGGAGGAGGGAGCAAGAGCAGATGCAGAGGAAGTCCAAAAAGACAGAAAGGATGGCACCGGCCCCAGCGGAGGCCGCAGGGCAGCAGTAGCACACGCCCCCACAGGACCACAAGTGCTCAGCAAGAAGGCCGTCCTCCTTCCCTGGCCTCCTCCCTGAGCTGAAGAAGACCAGTGGGTGGGGTGCTGTTTCGGGCAGACAGGACTGCTCCCTTCACCTGCTGAAGTCACCCCAAGCCGCCTTTGGTTGATTAACAAGCCAGAGACCTCACACGTGAGAGATGCAGACTCACTGCTCCTCTCTTCTCCCGCCTGCTGATGTCTTGTGTCGTGTTGGGCATGTTGTGTCACTGGCAGGGCTCGCGTGACCCACCCGACACAAGCGTGACACCTTGTGTGGTTCTCGAACACCGTGAATTTCCAGATGAGATCTGAGAGCAGGCAGAGAGCGCCTGCCATGAGCCCCGGCATCGGTGCATACAGTGTGGGCTGCAGCGTCCACCCCTGCCTGTGGGAAAGGTCCCCTCAAGTCTGTGTCTGGTTGCGCAACCACCCCACAGTAGCCCCCTGCGTGCTCTGCTGCATGATTACCTTTAGGGGAACAGGAAGCAAGCTTGAGGGGCACCAGACGGAGAGGAGGGAGGTAGAGTCGTTCGTTGACTGCAGAAAGCAGGAGCCTTGGGGATGTGCGCATGTGGATGTCACCTTAGGATTCTGGGGGTAACATTTATCCAGACAGAGCTGTGCAAGGACGAACAGGCAGATGTTAGCGCAGCCACAGGGTATTGGGATCTGGTGTTGACTTTGCTACTGCTGTGTGTTCAGTATTTCAGTCACACTGGCAAACACAACCCAGTGACTCTTTTTCCCCCCAGTAAATTGAACAGGAAATTGCTTTTTAAGGAAACTGCCGTTTTCAGGTTTCCCTCCAGGGACCCTCTTTGGTGGGTCCTCGGCCTCCTGTGACACAGACAGGCACTCGTCATGAGTTTTCTACTCAAGATTCCCCAAGTGGGATCAGTCAGTGTTTTAACAAATGCACTTTTAAGAAAAATAGAAATACCAGTCAGAGAAAATTTAGATTCAGTAATGCTCAGCCAGAGAACCCATTTTTTTTGAGCTCAAGGAATGTTCCTGTACAAGAGGCTTGTCAGTTGGGATGGTTTTTTGTGCTATTCCCTTTCATGCTTCAGAGGTGTCCATTTTACAGGTAGAGTTTGCTGAAGTTTGCAGCACATGGGTCCACTTGAGTCGTGGAGGAATTTAGGCCTAAGCCAGTGTTAAGGGTTTCTGTAGTCACCAAACTAATGTGTGGAAGACAGAGGCAGTGGCGGAGAAACAGACTCACCTAAGAAGTTTCAAACAATGAGGGCTTTTTGTTTCTTCTTTTACTTTTTATGCTCATGTATCTGGTTCTCTTTGCTTTACTGGCTCTAAAAACAGGTCATCCGCTATGTAAGGGACCACTTTCAGGTTCAGGCTTGAGGCCACGAGCTTTTTGGACAATCTTTCTCCTGAGGGGAGTGTCTGCTCTGCCTGCCACTGTCCGGACCTTCCACTGAAAGCATCCTAGGTGGAGCTTGGGGGCAGCTTGCAGCATTGAAGGGGCAGCTTGTGGAAGGGGACTCTTGCTCTCATAGCCCCATTGTGTATTCGTATTATCCACATTGGGGTTTTGCTTTTTATGGTTTTGGTTTTGTTTTTGCTTATCCGAATATCCCAGCTCTGGAATCATCTAAACTAGAAACGTTCAATTCTGTTCTCTCCCCAAGGCTGGTTTCCTTTTCAGTGCCAGGGTGTGGTCTATTCTGCTTCTGCCTTTTGTCACCGGGTACAGATCACCCATTCAACCCCCAGAAACATCAGCAAAAAAGTAATGCCATGTGGTCACAGTCACCATCATGCTTCTCTATCTTCCTTTGGGGTGTGGTCAGGAAACTGCCGTCCTGGATTCTCTGTTAGTCTCTCGAGGCATCTGGAGCTTTGCTGTATAGTAATACCATGAGGAGCAAGGCGCCACTATTGATAAGTATAAAATTTGGCAAACATTTTCTCACACCACAATACTAAATTAGTAAAAATCTGGTAATACCAGTGCTTGCTGTTGTAAATTTTTGCCATTTTTGCGTATTTTGGGGGACAAAAATGACCTGGATTACACTGGAAGTTTCACTGTCTTCATTTCAGGAGTGAAAACTGAAGGACGATGATCTTAAGTTATGTTTACACTTTGGAAATACTCGAAAATGGATGTAGGCATGGGAAATGTCTATGAGTCTGTCTCTGCACCTAATTTATGATCTATTATATTGCATTTTCTTAAATGTATTAGAAGCACTGTTCTTCATAACTTTATTTGTACACTTCCGATGTTTAGATGAACGTCCAGCTGATAATGTTATAAATCAAATTCTTATTCTTCAAATCATTTTGTCTGTATTATAACTCTTTTGATGTTTTAAAGTTAAATTATAGTAGTTTTAGACCGCTGAGTTATTTTAGCCTTGCTACTTAAAACTGCTGACAATGTGAACGACTGGATCTGCTTGTCCGACAGAGGACGAGATGCAAACTGACGATAGAAGGGTATAAGCAAGTGTGTAGGTGCTCGGGTCTCCGGGCCACTTGTCCTCTTAGTCTCTCACTGACTGTGGTGCATGATGCTCAGTGAGGCTCTGTGCCTTACGCAACACCAGCTTGAATGCTCGTGGTTTTCAGCATCTGTGCAATGTAACACAGAATTGTGGCTTTGTCAACCTTGAAACCTTTGCCGCTTTTATCATCAGAAAATGAACAAAAAGGGAATGTGTGATTAACATGAACTATATTCCCTAAAGGAGCGCTCATTATGACTCTAACAATAGCCGACAGTGTTGGGGTACAGGCTATGCCCACTGGAGACAGAGCATTGTACAAGCTGTGTCTGGCCAGGGGTTTCCGTTGAAGGACTTCTGGCTTACAAGTGACTTCTTTGTGGAAAACCATCTCTCACAATGTAACTCACAGGTTGTGTAATACTCTTCTCATGCTTTTCCTGCCTGAATCAGAAATTCACTGCAGAGTGTCACGTTAGGGCAGAAACATCATCGTGTTCATTCTACACTGATGGGGCTCGTCCCTTGGTTTCGGGACGATAAAGCTCTTCTGTGGCTGTCATCCACTAGCAGGGCGTGACATTGATTTCTCACCCCAGCTTCACGTGAGCTTTTTTAACCTATAGCTGTCTGTGGTGACAGAAAGGCAGGTCTGCGGCCAAACTCGGCTTCCAGCCATCATGGGATGGGACTGTCCACCTTGCTGTTGTGGACAAGGTGGCAGGAGTAAAAGTGAGGAGCTGGAGTAACCCTTGCCTCCACCTGCAGTCATCTCTAGCCTGAAATCTTAAAGTGTCCCAGGCCCAGGCCACAGAATTGGCCACAGGTGGTTGGAGCTAGTCCTCAGCCTTTGGTGTTTGCTGGAGATAGAAAAAGAATTCTCACTTGAGTCCTTCATGCCATGGAACAAATGTGTGCTTGGAAGCAACATCTTAAGAAAGGTGAATGGAAATGTGCATTTATGCAGATGTTCTAACTCGCGTATAAGTGTTAAAGATTATGGAGGCTCAGCTTAGAGAAGACCCAATGTTTAATCGTGTTCTGGAAGTTTCTAAAGTCTCACAATTCTGAGGGATGCGCCTATCCTTAGGATGTGGGCAGCTCCTCAGCGCCCTGAGACTCATAAGTATTACCAAATTCTGCTTAAGTAACTGGAGGCGCTCCCAGCAGAGCTGGAGGGGGGCACTTTTATGAACAACAGTCCCTAGGATTCATGCCACCTACTTCAGGCAAAGACCTTAGTGCTCTCTGAGGAAAAGTGTCAAATGGAAAAGCCGCCTTTTTATGTCTTTTCAAATTTACTTTTAACCACAGATCCACCTGCAGATTCTGAAGCTAAGCATTTAGAGATGCGCCACAGAAATAAAATGTCCATATTTTCTTCTGGAATTGTTTTCATCATGGGGGGCGGGTGTGGGAGGGCAGTCAGTTCTTGAAAGACAGCAGTGTTACAGGCAGTCTCAGTGAGCTTCAGTGGCTCAGCCCTGAAAACCAGTCTGGGCGTATTGGCAGATTTTGTTTGCATTTGTGTTGGATATTTAAAGTCTCAGGAAATTTAGTCTTGGTCTAAAACACTGGGGAAAAAAATATCACCAGACAGAACACATTTGAGTAACTTGAAGTAACTCAGAATAGGCCCAACTAGAAGGCAGAGGGGAAAAAAACCTACGGAACCCATTTCTTCCTGGAAAGTGGAGGTGCCCTGCTGTTTCTGGCAGACGGAGGGTCCTTGCGTGCCCGGGCATCACGTCTATGTGGGTCTGTTGAGAGAGTGGTTGTTACTGCAAGGTTTGCACATGTGAGTGTGGCCAGGCGCAGCCTGTGACCTGCTTCCAGGTCCTTGGCGTGGGGAAGGGAAGGAACGCAATGATCAGTGTGTGACCCCACCCCAGCCCCTACAGGATTCAATAGCGAGGAAGCTGGAAGGAGTGACAACCGACAGCTTCTTGAGGTGCGCGTGCCACTCAGGTCAATGTTCAGTACCTCATACGTGTAAACATGACACCCACACATGTACACACTACAGCCACATGACTCAAAAACAGTGTGTGTGGAATTTGGTAGTGTCAGCACCCCAGACTAATCATAGCCTTATTGCCATTTTTTGTGTTGTGTATACATTGAATGGCTCACAGGTTTTAAGAGATTTTTTTAAAACGTAAGTATTTCTACTAAATGCACTTATCCTTCCACCTGTTTATATATTTTGGTAAAATTGATTTACTCAATACTTGGTCTTTTGGTAAGATACAGTCTTCTCACGTTTGTTCAATGCTTTGACATCAGGATTGCACATGGCGGAGAGCTCAGAAGACCTTTCTGCAGCTGGGGGCATCTTCATCTGTGGACTGCCATTTTCTTGGCTAGAAATCACCCTGTGTGTTCTTGGGTGCGACTCATGCTTCTGAAATGACACAGCTGATGTCTCTGGTGCTGGAGTCACTGCAGGGTTGCCATCATATGGCCATTTATTTGCTTCTTGTGTGAGTGATCGCATTTTGGTTGTTGCCAAAAATAATGCAAATGGTTGTGAGTGTGAGCATGTTGTTGGAAGGTGTACACTTCTGTTTCTTTCAGCTGCTTTATTCACACACCCAGCTTTTCTGTCAAGGACTTAATCATTCATTCATGAAAGAACAGTTGGTCAGAAATAAGATTACCTTAAAAAGTGGGAATTCAGAGGCACTCCAAGCAGATAACACCTCCCAACAACATCTGATTTAGTTAGTGCTTAGTGAAATTCCTTCAGTATATGATATGTATATGTTTTCCTCAATATTATTTAATGTTATAACTGCTGCTTTTGTATTTTTAATGGTGTTGCAATTAAACCACTTGTACACCTGCTACCTATTACTGACAGAAAACTGGGCAGCTGAAACATAAGAGAGAATGAATTCTGTTCCACTGGAAGGAGTTGATTTATTTTCAGCTTTCTTTCTGTATCGCTAAAGGAAAAGAGCTATGACAATGATTTGGGGTCTGATAAGTGTGGATAGCATGTTCTCTGAAACTTTTCATTTGCACATCTGCTGTCTGATCATTTGCATGGAAGAGACAACAGTGCCACGTCCGCATTGTTCCCTTGTGCTTGGTTGCTATGTACCTCTCTAGGTCGTTGTGTTCCAAATGACATTCCTTCCTCCTTGGTTTTCAGAGGCATTCAGAGCAAAATACCACAATGGTCCTTTGTTTTTGACCAATCTAACAATACCTGTGATTAAATTTAATCTGCTAGTGTAAATAAACTTTTTGCCAATGAGTATTATTGTTGTTAGACAACGAATGCAATAAAAAGAGAAATACTGAGATTGTCGAGGTGATTTTTTTCCCCCCTCTTCCATTTTTACCTTCAACTAAAACAAGCCTTGCCTGGGTAAATCTGTGTGAATTGTCAAACATATGTGTCAAACAAGAGCAAAGTGCACATTTTTCGTGGAAATGAAACTAAAAAGTTTTGACACTAGCAAAGTGTGAATTGGCAGCTAGCATTGCGTTTGAAAGCACAGTCATGGACCTGGGCATAGAGGACAGAGCTCAGCCTCCCCAGACACGCCTCCCACTGTTCCCTGGGGCTGCCCTGCTGCCAAGGCCTCCAGTGCCCACCGGCTAGGAGAACCTGTGACAAGCCCAGGAAGGGCCAGCCCTACGTGGTGAGGCGCGGGTGGAGGGAGGCCCGGCCCACCCTGGAGTCTAGGGTAATTCTAAGCAGTTGCATTTCCTAAATCTGAACCATTCCTAAGACCAGGCTACAACAAGGAAGTGTACTGATTCCATTCTCTCTCTACACATTCATACTATAATTTACCTTTGGCAGTGCAGACATTTAGATCTGGGCATCACAGAATGCATGAATTAAGTTGTTTTCCTCTTCTTAGAATGTTGGTTAGGAAATTCCTGCCCAGGCTGTCCCTTTCTGAGTAATCCTGAGCATATGTTGGGTCCAGTTAGGTAGTTTTTTTTTTTGTTGGGGGTTTTTGGGGTAAATTTGCTTATTCGATCAAGATCAAGAAAGAACAGAATATGGTCATTTTATTGAAGACGTTCTGGAGGCTAACTACTCAGGAGGCTCTTATTAAACAAGGAAATGAGGATTTTCCCCTAAAAATCCCACTCATTCATGGTTTCAGATCTGTATTTCGGAGACTCCATCGTCCAGGGTATGGACAGCATCTCTGGACAATCGGGCCCTCGAGGGCACATTAGGTCCCTGAAGTCAGGACTGATGCAACTCGAGTGTTGACATGAGGCAAGTATTTTTGATCCAAACAAAACGTTCCTGTTCATTCCTTTGTCCACAATCCTAAACTGTTGGCAGTCCTTACTTTAGCGACCAGACATTTTGCCCAAGATACCCCAGACTGTCATCATGAGAAGTGCCTTAGAAAGACTTTGTTTCTAAAGTGACTGCCTTAATGTCCCAAGGAAATAATTCAGCAAGACGATTGCACTTTCAAAACAGACAAATTAATTAAGGTGACCTTCCTGTGTCAGCTTTTATCACAAAATGATAAAGTCATATTGTCCTCCAAGTTGTGTCCCTCAGAAGATAGCCAAAGGTTGTTGATCTTTTCTACTTGTTTGTTTTCCTTTCTATTTTTTCTTTTCAGCCTTCACAGCAAGTTAGAATTATTTATTATTATTATCATTATTATTATTTTTTGAGTTGGAGGTCTCTGTCACCCAGGCTGGAGCACTGTGGCACACTCAGGGCTCACAGCAGCCTTGACCTTCTGGGTTCAGGGGATCCTTCCACCTCAGCCTTCTGAGTAGCTGGAACTACTGGTGTGCACCACCACACCCAGCTAATTTTCTGATTTTTTGTAGAGATCTCACTATGTTGCCTAGGCTAGACTCTTGCGTTCAAGTGATCCTCCACTCTCAGCCCCCTAAAGTGCTGGGATTACAGGTGGGAGCCACCACACCTGGCTTTAGAATATTTTTTAAAAACCACCAGCACCACCACCACCTCACCAACAGTGTTGTCTTTGGGGACACTCAGCTGTGCCTAAATCACATGCAGGCGTCATTCTGCAGCCAACGCTGAAGTGAACAAACTTCTTCCTTTAACAAGTCAAAGAAGCTACAAGGTACCATTTATGTCAAGAAAGCAGATACTCATAATTTCCAGGTGTGACCACATGCCTATGGATTCTAAGGTTTTTCTGTACACCGTCGCAACAGGAAACCTGGAAAAGCAAGCATGAAGGGAGAGTCCGGGACATCTGGCCATGCCAGGTGCTCGTAGCTCCCCAACGAGCATGCCTGGGCGGGTGACTCTCGTGCACATGAACCAGAGTCCCCACGGAAGCACCAGAGTTCCGGATGCATGAGCGAGTCCTGCTGTCCTATAACCTCTGAACAGCACGTGGCAGTACACACGTGTGCTCCTGAGAACACACGCTCTCAGGATAGAACTTGGGGGTCATAGTTAAGACCTGATGTTGACATAACACATGTAGTCATGTGAATGAGGATTTTTATTGGTGCATGGGGTTTCCAAGGACCCCAGGTTGACGTGTGTTGTCTCCAAAGAGCCTTCTCCAGGGATCCACCCCCGGGTAACAAGCACTCCGATGCCACTTGAGGCCCAGACTCAGGGTCCACATCCGCTGCTGGGATCACAGAGCCCCTGAACTTGGCGCAGTTGAAGGAATGGGTCGCAGCTTCCAGGCACGGCTGCGAGTCGCCAGCTAGAGCTCACAGTGCAGGGCCTTGTGGAAGACCGTGCCAACCAGCAGCTGCCCTTTGTACACGGAGGCAACCGTGCTACCTTGCAACACGGTGCCATTCTCTTTGTAAACCACTGTCACTTTGGGTTCTTCTGTTAAAATGTTCTGGATTCGAAGGACCTATCGAATAAATAGTATAGATCATTATTTTTCAAAAAGTTACTTAAGACAGCTTTAAGCATGGATCATCTCTCCATAAAAAGCCGTATTACCAAATATACGAGGTGGGACCCCCAAACACGGAATTATCATTTGGAGGGCGGGCCCTGCTAGGTGACTGTTTTAAGAGCCCATCAGCATCCGTGGACCAGCTAGCATTGTGAGAAGCTGCATTTGGCTTCAGCGAACTTTTTTTTTAAAAAGTCTATCAGCACGTTTGTCCGTTTCTTGATGGGTGATTTACGAGTGCACTGGCCCACACCGTATTCTGCAGTTTTTGACCAAAATGGCATTATCCCCATATCCCACCCTCCCTATTCACCCGATCTCACCCCAAGCAACATTTTTTTGTTTCCCTGGATGAAAAAAGTCCTCAAAGGGAAACATCTTTTGATATGGAGGAAGTGAAACAAAAAAGTGCTGAAAAGCATCAAAATTGATGAGTTCAAAACTGTTTTGAGCAGTGGAGAAAGCATCTCAGTAGGTGTATTGCATCAAATGGAGAGTACTTTAAAGGTGACTGAAGTTTAAATGTGAGAATACATAATTTTTAATAAATGAATTCAATTTTGGGGGGGAATCCTCTCTCATAATGAGATAAGTCATGTCTTGCCCCTAGGTTATACTGAACACACCTGTCTCCTCATTTGTGAACTGATGAGCTCTGATCATGTGACCTTTAACAGAGGTGGAGCTGCCTAGACTTAGGGGGCTAGGCTAGAAGTGTAAACCTGCGGCAAGGCCTGGCATGAGACATCAGGGAGCACTGGGGACAGTGACAGGAGTGCAGGGGGTTGTTATTACTCAGCAACTGCCAAGTTGGTGCCGTGCTGCCATTCAGGTCAGTTTTCGTATGTTTTCAAATTAGCCGGGAATGAGAATGTTCATACTTAATTCCTGGTCTTTAAATGCTGGTAATCAAACAAGAAAAAGTACAGCCCAATAGACCCCACATCTCTGTACCTCACCATCCATCCTTCTGAACTTAACGTCCCCCGTCTAAACGTATACAATGTTATAAGTTCTGTTCATTTAGTTGAGGATAAATTTAATTATATCATTAGCAAAAGCAAAGTGCTGTATCGTGTTAAGCTACCCACATGAAATGGCTAATATTTGATCATTCTGGCTGACAAAAATGGCCGTTTAACAGGATTCAACCTAATTGGAGAGGATCCCACTGAGGCAGGAGGCCTGGGTCCATCCTGTGTCTTCTGCTCACCATTTGTTTCTTTTTTTTCTTTTTAAAACTTTATTTCAATATAACTATGCTTACAGAAATACACTCATATTAGTTAATAGAATGCAATAGCTCCAGTTTCCTTGTTGACTGATGAAGTGAGCAGATGGTGTTAATTCAGATTGAAGAAATGATCTGAATCTTGGTTTGTGTAGATTTACAATCCACATGCAATATTAACTAAATCAGATAGCTTTTACAGGTCCTTATGTGTACATAGGCTCCCTTCCACCTCCTTCCTTATTCACTAGTTGTTGAACTTTGTAAACTGGCATTGAAACATTACAACAATGTTTTGTTGCACCAATTATATAAACTTACACAGTGCAATACCATTTGTTTCTTAATTGTCACATGAGGTGGGGGGATGATTGCTGAATTCCCATTCAACTCTACGATTAAGCCTTTAGAATAAAATAACAATGGTGTGAAAACTGACACCCACATCACAGAAACACCAGATGTGGCACACCGGGAAGGCCAGTGCCCAGATGTAAAAGGGCCGATGGGAGCTTCCAAAATGGCCTCCTGAAGACAGCTGCCGCCAAGGACAAATGCCTTGGGATGTGGCCGGAGTGTCAGTGCGCCGTGACTACTCACAGGGAAATGGCTGCACCTTGGCTCCACTCAGCTTCCTGGTGATCAAACGGCATTGCTCTCCCATGGTGGGGCGTTAAATAATGAACATTATTACCTTTCGCTATTCTGCAACAGATCCATCACCAGAAAGGAGGTATTTTTTCCAGAACAACAAGCCAAATCCTTGCTACAGCTGATAACCTAAGTTCACCGAATAAGCTAACAAGCAAAATAAGTGAGGATCTAACATTCTGCTCAGTTCTGAGCGGTGGCCACTCCACGGCACACATTTCTTCAATTCCACTGAACGCATAAGTCAGCAAGCTTAATCAGCAAAAGCCAGCAAAAGGCACAGCGGATTGCTTTCACCTACAATCGTCATTGTCCTGTGAAACTCAAGAGAAAAGTTCTAAGAGCCATAATGGAATTGGAAATACACTTGGTTTTTTGTTTGTTTGTTTTTTAATCCCAGAGATATGGGCTTTCTTTTTCTTTTTTCTGTTGGGTAGGTGAGACTGACTCCTAAAACTAAGCTTTAAAAATACATAGCAGTAGACAAATATGTCAACATGGTACCATGTATTTGACGAAAATGAGTGTAATTCGTACATACTGAAAACTCAAAGTAGAAACACAAGGTAAGTGGCGGCATGCGGCCCAGTGCCCGCGGCAGAGTGGCTTACAGGTCCTGGATGCTCTGCTGGCGGAGTCCACTGGGCAACGATGGGGGCAAGCACGGGAGTCTCAGTCTTGCAGTACGTCTGGGGACTCCTCTGAGCCAAAACCGTTCCAGCACGAACCACGCCTCCCATTCCAGGGGTACCATAGGCGCTCGAGTGCTTTGGGCCCAGACCCAGGCTGGGTCATGGAGGACGCCCAGGAAAGGGGCTGAGAGGAAGGGAGGCAGCCCACAAGGGACTCAACACTGCAGGGCGGCATCTCCGAGAGTTCGCAGGTGACAGAGACTCACAAGTGAAATGAAGATGGCCCGTCCTGAGAGTCCCTCCCTGGGTCCAGGGCTGCCTCTCCATGCTCTGACCCACAGAGCCAACCCTGAGAAGGGCCGAGCACCTTCCTTCCATCCGCAGCCGCAGAGGATGGAGCCCCAAGGGAGACAGGGAGGCCCAAGAGAAGGGAGGCTGAGGCAGGCAGGATCTGCTCTCCAGGTGTCCTCCCTAGGGGTCGATGCTGGCTGGCCATGTCCCTAACCCAGAGGCCAGGCTCCTGCCAGACACCCCTTCCAACACTGCCCTCTTGTTCTAGCCTCTGGAGACTAATCCCTGGGGGACTGAGCTGTCCTCCATGGACTTCCCCACATCCCACCCACACCTTTGTATAGGGTCCTTTCACTAAGATCCCTTCAAACTATCCCCAATTTCTCCACATTTCCACTTGGACTCTGACTTACATGCCTCCAAATGCACTGTTTTTTTTCTTGAGTCAGGACTTCACTCTGTCAACCAGGCTGGAAGGCAGTGGCATGAACATGGCTCACTGAAGCCTCGACCTCCTGGGCTCAGGCGATCCTCCCACCTCACCCCGCTGAGTAGCTGGGACTACAGGCATGCACCACCACACCTGGCTAATTTTTTAAATTTTGTGTAGAAATGAGGTCTCATTATGTTGCCCAGGTTCTTCTTGAATTCCTGGGCTCAAGCAATCCTCCTGCCTCAGTCTCACAAAGTGCTGGGATTACAGGTGTGAGCCACCACACTCTACTAATTTGTGTGTGTGTGTGTGTGTGTGTGTGTGTGTGTGTGTGTGTGTGTGTGTGTTAGAGACAGGGTCTCACTGTGCTGCCCAGGCTGCAGATGTTCTTTTTATTTCAGATTACCTGGCTCATCTTCCCGTGACCCCCTTCTATCTGCACATCTAACTGAGATTACGTTTTCAAAAACTGAAAACTGGTTGCTGGAGATAAAGTCACTGAATGGTTCATTTTTCAAACTGACCTCTGATGCAGGAGGATTCTCTGGGTCATAGATGAAGATCCTTATGCCATTGGGATGGCATCCAACCCACAGGTCCCCCGTCACGGGGTCCACGGATATGTTATCCACGAGTGTGTCACAGTCGAGGAACTTCCAGGATTAAACACAAGAAAACAAGAGACAGGAGGTAAACCAAAATTGCGACAGAACAATGTCAGGGACTCCCCCCCCACAGTCCTCCCTCACCACTGCTGCTTCCAGGAACACAAGGGTTCTGCCCATTTCCAGGGCTCAAAAAACTCCTCTGGCCTTCCACCTATGCTGGCACTGGTCCAGCTTCCAGGGCAGAGGGGGAAGGAAACATGCAGAAAGCCAAGAAAGGCTGTGAAAATTAGAGGAAAAATCATTTGGACAAACATCCGTGCATGAACCTGAAACTGAAAAACAGAAGTGTTAAGCGTGGCATAAAGCGGTGCCGGCTAAGATGGCAAGTGCAGAGGGTGTTTGTGTAAACACCCAGGAAACAGCCCACATGCACGATGTCACCCTGGCAGCCGCATCAGCGCAAGAGGCTCTCCCAGGGCTGATCCCATGGTGGGACAGGATCCCCAGCATTCTGGGGCCCACGCGTGTTGGACTGGGCTCTTTCCTCCTGAAGTCTGCAACCTTCCCTGTACGGGAGGCCCCATGACTGAACCCATGGTCGTTTTCTCTCCCCACCAGTGTGGGGGTCTGGAATCCCATTTACCCAACCAGCCCGCTGTGGTTTTTGACATCAAATATGACATCACACTCGATGTTGTTCAAGGCGACTTTCGCTGAGCAGGCCCCCTTGATGTGCCCATGGGCACAGTCCTGCCGTCAGCGAGGAACAGTACGTCCTGTGAGGGCACTGAGACTGAAGGGTGCTATCCTCTTCCTCAGAGCAGAGTGAGGGGCGGCTTCCCTGGTGCCCTGACATGCTCTCAGCCTCTCTCCCTCCCATTTGTGTTTTTACCCGCTTTGACTCCAACCTCCACACTGGACCAGAATTAGTGAAGGCAGACGGGAACCTCAGAGCCGTGCCCGGCCTCACCCCCTGAGTTGAACAGGTGTTTGTTGAGTGACTACTAGGTGCTGGGAACTCTTCCAGGGACAAATAGGAGAAAACTCATTCCTGTGGAGTTTCCACCCTAGCAGGGAGTCAGGTCATAAGGACACATGAAACATATAGTGTGCTGGCCATATGTGCTGGAAGAGGAAAGAGGGCAGTGAAGGAGTGGAAACTCATGGGGTATGGGATGCTGGCAGCCTCCATCCGGCAGTGAGGGAAGACCTGACAGAGGTGAGGGAAGACCTGGCAGAGGCGACATTTTAGCAACAGCCAAGAGGAGAGGAGGGAGACAGCCTGGGGATCTGTGGGAAGGTCACTCCTGGGGGCAGAGGAACAGAGCCCTGTCCCAGGCGGGGCCACACCTGGACAGCCCCAGGGTAGCCCAAGGGCAGAAGAGGTGGGGCCAGGGCTCAGGCACTGGGGACAAAGGCAGAGAGGCCATGGCAGCCGGTCACCTGACAGCACATGGGCACATGGGCTTAGAAACAGTGAGCAAGCCGAGCTCGGTGGCTCAGCCTGTAATCCCGTGCCTTTGGGAGGCTGGGGTGAGTGGATTGCCTGAGCCCTCGGGTTCGAGACCCGCCTGGGCAGCGAGACCTCATCTCTACAATAAATCAAGAAATTAGCCGGGCGTGGTAGCGCGTGCCTGTAATTCCGGCTACTGGGAAGGCTGAGGCGGAAGGATCGCCGGAGCCCAGCAGGTCGAGGCTGCGGTGGCCGGGAGTGGCCACTGCACTCCAGTCTGGGAGACAGAGTGAGACTCCAACTCAAAAAAGAAAAGAAAAGAAAAGAAAAAGAAACAGTGAGCAGAGCCGGCCTGGGTCAAACACAAGGTGAGGCCGTTTCTATCAACAGAGGAAAAGAGAGAGAAAGGGGAATGAGAAAAGCTGGAAGGGAGGGAGGGAAGGAGGGAGGGAGAGAACGAGGGAGGGAAAAAGAGAAAGAGGGAGGGAGGGAGGATGGAGGGAGGACCCAGGGACCTGAGGCCAGGCTTAAAATTCCTAGAGCAGTAAGAACCCCACGTCCCCAGGTGAAATGTGTGCTCTGCTCCCCACTCCGCAACTGAGCGAAAGTGAACACCACACAGCCACGGGTGACCTTTAATACGGGAGTGAGAAACTGGCTCTCGCCTCCAGTTAGCCTGTCCGCTTTCCTCACCTTGACTCCTGCGAGTCGGTGAGAAGCGCGGTACCACTCTGCCAACTGGTGGTGGGAACCATCTTACCTTCAATGGAGTCAGCGTCTGGTTAGCATGCCTTTCATACACGTGAATCCTGTGAGCCAGCAACTCGGAGATATAGACGTGCCTTCAAGGAAGAAAGAGTCGCATCGAGGCACCTGACGCAAGGCAGTGACAGTGACAGTGATGCTTCCCTGGGGAGCTTGGCTTGGGGCTGGAACATGGAGCCCAACTCAGAGCACATGAATCCTGAAAGGACCCAATGAGCGCACGGTGCCCCATGGGAGAAGTCTTTGAAAAGTCATCTCCATAGGTCGAAACCGCGTTGGCCCTGATCAGGTCGGGAGGCACTTGGCCCTGACACCAGCTCTGAGGGTCCCAGGGGAGAGCGTGTGACAGTGTTTCTCTACTGACTCGCCCACAGAGGGGCACCCCAGTTTCTGCATTGGGGAGGGCAGTGAGCTTTCTCCTGGGGAGACTGCAGGGAGGCTCTGTGACAACCAGCCTTGTTTTAGGCTAGAAAAAATAGGAAACCAGACAGCTGGCCTGAACGGACAGCATCTTCCTCCTCTTCTGCCCTGAGTCTGGTTCTGATCCTGCGACCCTAGTCACACCTTGTCAGGACTGTGGGTAATCTAAGCTCTGTGCTCCCCTGAAGAAAGAGACAAATGACTGCTGGAGGACCTTCCAGTTTTGAAGACCAGGCCGTGAGATGAACAATTGGAAGCTGTCCAGGCTGCTTTTTCTACGTATGTGTTACTGACTTTCTGAAATCCTTGATGAGGAAGGGATGGAATGGATGGATATATGGATTCCACATAGACGCCAATGCTGCCCAAAATGCCACTCCCGGGGCAATCCAGTGTTGATGTGCTAGTTGACTATCGTAAGGCCACCATGAGATAATATTGTAAATCCACTACATCGGGAAGCCTACTGCTTAAGTGAACTGAGGGCTTTTTTCATAGCAAAACTTTCTCGATGAAGGAAGTGGTACCTTGATTTACATTTTGATGCAAGCTCCTTATCTTGTCATAAACTAACGCTAGCGACATAGGTATATACATACATATATGGGGTGTCAAAAATGTATACACATTTTAAGAGATGCTACCTATGTATGACGTTTTGAAGTTGAATGATGGTAGCAATGTGTAGTAAGATGCTCTCTTAACGTTCCTCAAGTGAATGCTAGCGTCACCAAGTGACGGGAAGGACAGTCAAAGAAAATGGCTGAAGCGTGGCGTTGTTTGACGTGTACAAGACCATTTTGAAGTGGCCTTTGAAATTTGAGAATGCTGTGGAAGTACAACGACAGTGGAGGCTAAATATGCCACAGAATCTTGAACAGGCCTGACGACTGCAGAACTTCACGATGAGTCTGAGATGCCTGGTCCTGTGTGCGATATACACAAGGAAGGACCCAGGAGCCTCACACAGCCACAAGTCCTGCTGCTTCTGCTGTGATGTTGGGACAGTTTACATGCTTGCCACAGAAGTCTACCCAACAGTGAGCACCTCTTTAACTGCAGAAGTCTAATGTGACTTGTTTTCAGTTTTTGCTTTCGGTGTATATGGGTATTACAATTTTAATACAGTTTTTTTTTTCTTAAAATGAGTATACATCTTTTGGCACCCTCTGTATATACAGACATATCTATATATATCTTCATACAATCAATCTCATTATACACTCAAAAAGCTTCCCTCCAAACAAAGCTATCGAGTAAGACTAAATCTTCATCATAGTCCCCCTCTTAAAATGTACTTTCAAAATACAAAATAAAACCAGTATGCATTCACAAAATAGACATTTTTGATTTGACACATTTTACCACTAAAAAATTAAAGTATTTTACATTTTTTCCTGTTTTTGGCTCACCAGGATAACATGTTAAAATGCATCCCATGACTTAGATCTAAAGACGTCTGGTGAGAATCATATCTTAGAGTCCACGTACTTGCCATCAGGGGACGTGTTGATTCCATTGGCAAAATCCAATCCTTCTGCCACCACTCGGACTTCATCTGGACTGTAGTAGACGACATACGACCACGCTAATCCCAGATATAACTCCCAGGAGCGTAGGTAGGGGTCAACAAAGTAGTGATCGTTTGTGGCATAAAAGTGTTCAGGTCCCACAGCAACAATGTCATTCAAACTGCAATTAAGACATACACATAATAGACACAGATGAAGGCATTGTGATCATGGGAAGATGAACTGGCATTCACCTCCGTCTATTCCCAAAACCAGGACCTCGGACCTCACTCTAGCTGTGGTGGCACAGAATGGACATGGAATCATTCCTCCCCATGCAACCCCAGAGGCAACAACTGGTTTAAGTTCCAAGAGGTGACCCCAGTGCTGTAACATACAAACTCTGGTAGCTGCACACAATAGTGCTGTGGTGTGTGTGTGCACATGTGCTAAATTCAGTGGATGTTGAATTAGAACGTGGAACCGTGATCAGAGCCAATTGTCCCTGTGCTTACGCAGGGCTGACTCTGGCAGTCCAAGGCATCCCAAGACAGTGCAGGAAATTCCAGGCTGTCAGCCTGGAAACATCTCAGCTATAGTTCTGCTCCCATGAGCTGTGGGATCTGGGAAGAACCAGTCCCTTCTTGTAGCAGTCCTCAGTTTCCCTATCTGTGAGAGCATGGTGATGAACTGGTCGATCTTCCGACCTCATGGTTTCGTGCTCTAAGTTGAATGAGATGTCATGAACAAGAAGCCTCAGCCCTCCGACACTGTGACTTCTTCCTTCTGATTGGGATTCTCTCTCTGCTATCGAAAACGTAAGAGAGATGAGTCTACTCTTCTTCTTTATTAGGTGCCAGAGCGAACAAGTGAGGCAATCCATGCTGCTTGAGTTGACAGAAGCTCCCAGGGCCATGATCTAGAGAATATCCTGTCTGTCCTGTTGCAGAGGACCAAGGGCTCTCAGGCCTCAGTCCTGCACACCCACCCTCACACTTCAGTTCTGATGCAGCTCTGGGTGAGTTGACAAGATTCAGAGCCTCAATCTTCTCATCTGTAAAGAGGCTGGATTTCCCCAAATCCACACAGTTCATTAGTGGGAGTCTAGAGTAGGAATCCTCTCTAGAGGATCTGTGAAGCTGCAGAGGGACTTCCAGCAACTCAGGCCCGGAGTGTGCATGTCAGGGAGCCCAACATGCAATAAACCTTTAATCGTGGCAGCCGCTATTACTACACCAACAAAGTCTGGAGTTTAGGATTGGCCCCGATGGGCTGCAGATATATAAGTCTGGCTTTCCCCTCTCTTCTTTAAAAGTAAATTTCCAAAGCTAGTGTGCTTTGCTGTCATATGACTGTTTTCACAAAAAGGAGCAGAGAGGGACGTTTCAAGTAACAGCTTGGAAGTCAATGGACTCTGCTCAAATCTTGACACAGCTTTTCCTCGCCACAGCACTGGGCCACAGCATGTCACTACACTTGGGGCCACTTCTCTGGGCCTCAGGGTTCTCTCTGTGCCTGGAAAGGCTGGGGAAGAGTCAAACGAAATCGTGAGCCTAAGGGCTTTGCCCCCATGCCTAGCATACAGTGAAGACGAGTGATCACAGCTATGTGATTGTCAATAATAATAGGTTTACGTTGTAGTGGATTTAGGAACTGGAATATTAACATTGTAAACCATCACATCCAAAGCAGAAAACAGACATGACCAATTCTTGGCCTAAGAGAACAGGACACACTTGAGCTGGGCAGTGTGGATCTCTTCAGTTTCACTCTGTGCTGCCAGAGACCAATATTTTTGCAACTGCCCCTCCCTAAAATACCCCACCTGGAAACTCTGCAAACCTGAGATTTCCAAGACTAAATGGCAAAACAAATAAAATAAGTGTTCATGACTTTGTAGTGGTTTCAAGTCACCAGGATTAAGATCCAGCCACCAGGGTAGGGTTGAGATCCCAGCTGCACTGGTCAGTGGTGGTGCCAACAGGAGCAAATGCAAAGAACCCTGAACTCAGCTCTTTAAAAATTAACAATGGACATAATAATAAAACATCATTAAGAATATAAGTGTAAAAAGTCAATAAAATAACCTGTTTAAATCAGTGCTGCACCTGGCTTACATTTAAAGCTCACTGAATTATTATTACTATTGCTATTGTTATTGTTATTGTTGGCCCAGAGTCTCCAGCCCACGCCCTTCTCCCTGCTTTAGATCTTGGTACTCTTCATATTCTCCAAGCACTCAGTGGCCTCATCCTCTTTCCAGGTATATTTGTTGGATGAGTGTATGACGCTTCCACAAGCTCTTCTCTGAACTCACGTTAGGGGTGCAGAAGCAACTGGGGCTGGAGTTCCCAAGTGGCCTCTACTGAGTTGACTGGCCTTCATCCGAGAACTCGATTTCTCCCCAGTCCCAGTTTCCTCATCTCCAACCCACCAGGTGAGAAAGAAGAGGAAGAGGCTCTGGTGGCACTGTGCATGCTGCATGCCAGGCACTTTGCTAGGTAGCCGCCAATAGCACAAAAGCAGACTTACAGCATGAAGGTAGGCAAATGCTGTGCGTAAACTGTGCAAATAGAGGCGAGGAGTCTAGAAAATCATCATAATCCAGAGATAAGCGTCATTTTGGAAGACTGTGTCAGATTGCTGTCCTAAACCCGTCACCAGCCTCCCAAGCCAGACTGTCACAGGGCAAGTGGGGAGATTGGCTTTGGGTGGGGTCGACTGTGACTAAAGACCCTTGGGTGCTTTCTCTGTGTGTTATACAGCCTAGATGCCTAGGAGGGAGCTGACTGTCCCCACAAATCTGCACTTCCACAAACCGTATGCAACCAGACAGCAGCAGAGACAGCATAGGGGGTCTCAGACACACTGGACATGGTGTCTCCTCTCAGGAATATGTTTCTAACTCACAGAATCAGTTGAGACTCTCTTTTTAAAGATACAGATAAAAACAAACAATAATTTCTCCCTGAAACCTGCTTGGGTTTTGAAATGCAGGTCTGGTTGTGAGGATAAGCAGAGGTTTTTCTTGGTAAAAACTTGAATGAAGATTCTGAGGCCAGGGACCAGGACCAGCTAGGAAATAAGAGGAGGAGAGAACGAGCCTTCTCTGGGGGCCCAAATCCTCAACAAGTTCTGCAGAAGAACATCGGAGGGTTTGTGACCATCAGAAAGGGGAGCTGGCAGCCATACCTACCCTGGCTAAAAGGAAAAGCTAAATGTAGATTAACTATCCACTGCTGTTAAAGGAAAACAGGAATATGATATGTCTCAGTACCTCGGCAGAAGTTTGTGTCTGATGGTTTTTAGATGCAAGAGTGATTTGTCTTCCTCTTGAAATTTAAACAACTCCACCGTGGTCTGGAGGTCTGGATGGTTCACCACCAGCAGGTACACGACATTATCTGAAAGGAGATTAAAAATGAAAATCGAAACATTAACTGAGCTCTCAGCCATCAGCCCTCTCTCCAGAAAGCAATCCTAGCCCACCTCCAACTGGTACTTAGGATCTCAGGCAGATGGATATTTTCATTTCTTTGTAGAGAGTAGCAGTTGAGATTGCTCCTTTTCCAAAGAAGAGTGCCTCAAGGAAGAACCAGTGATAGTCTCTAAAAACTCAAAACTCTACAAGAAGAAAAGAAATTCCCTCAACTTAAAGAATGAGCATCACAGACATGAGAACTCCAAGGAGCTCCTTAAGCTTTCCAGTTCAGATGGTCTCCACAAGATACAGAGTCAAGGCAGATGGACTAGGAGATGTGGATCTTCCAACATGAGAAATGGTGCTGTGGTGTCACTTACCCCATGTGAGGTGGTGAATTCCCTATGAACATCTGAGAGACAGAAGCAACTTCTGTGTATCAGTGGGCCTTCGGAACACAAAGGAGACCAGTCGAAGGATCACGAAGTTATGATCAGAGCTGGAAAGGAACGTTAGATTGTGGTCTCTGCCTTAAGAAGCAGCGAATGTTTGGAAACCTCTGAAGTGACCAAGTTGATGTTTAGTTGCTAAAAAAATGATGCAAAGTTTAGCAGGCTGAGCCGAGGAGATTTGAACAGAGAAACCAGCTAAGATGCTTGTTATTAACCCATTCAAGAAACATATGCTTATTTCAGTTGGTGTTAAACACTACCAAGGAAAAATAGTTGAAAGGGACAGGAAACACTGGGGTGCCTTCTTCATGGGAGTCAGAGACATACTCTCTGCTGAGGGGCTGCTAGAGCAAAGGCCCCCGTGCAGCAAGAGAGCAAACCACATGGGTATCTGGGGAAAGAGCATTCCAGGTTGAGGGAAGAAGCATACAGAGGCTCCAAGGAAGAGCTTCTGGGCACGTTCACTCAAGAGTGAGGCTGTGGTTGGAACAGAGTGAAGGGCAGACAGAGGAAGGGGGAGGGTGGAGCCAGATGGAGCCGGGATCAGCCTGGCCAGGACTCAGGATGAGAATATAGAGTGAAGGGGAGGGAAGAAATGGAGGGGGAGGGTAGAACCAGAGGGTGCCAGGGTCAGCCTGGTCAGGGCTAGGGATGAGTTTGCTCACTGGGGCATCTGAGTCCAGGAAGGGCATGGCCTGATGCCACAGCCATAACCCAGGTATGCAGAGAGAAGAGACTGAACTGAGAGGATGCCCCTGACAAGAAAAGGCAGAGGACATGGGAAGCTTTCCACAGGAAGTATCAAAAGACCCTGGGAATGGCTGAGGAACGAAGGAGACAGAAATGAAGCTTGAGGAGGGTTTAACCTGCATTCATTTCAAGCAGCAGATTCTATTCTAGAAGTGCGTCCTCTGAAGAATCCTGGAAGAGTCTCACACAGAAGGTTCATGTTGGCACTGCTGGCCGTGATCATAAAGACGGCAATACCCTACATGTCTATCCGCGGAAGCCGGAGTGGCCGCTGCAGAGGAGACTCACAGGCACAGTCATAAAGGAGCCTGTGATGCAGGGTTAACACAGAAGCAGGTCACAGAAGTGGCGTGTTTTGTTTAAAGAGTATGTACACACCAGACACTTTTTTGTACTTAAAAATATTTTTAAAGTAAAATACAGTGGTGGTGAATGGGTGGAGAAACCATTGAAAGGGAGATACAGATATAGATATAGATGTAGGTGACAGCTAGAGATAGAGATGATTGAATAGAGACAGATAGATAGGTAGATAGATATAGATACATAGAGATAGAGATAGATGGGTGATAGACATAGATGACAGGTAGATAGCTATAGATGACACAGACAGACAGAGATAGAGATGGTAGAGATAGAGATAGATATACAAGGGGGGACACAAAAACAATATTTATTAAAAATGGTGTATTTAATTTTACATGTTTAAACTTCAGTCACCTTCCAAGTGCCCTCTGTATGATGCAATATACCTATCAAGATGCTTTCTCCACTGCGCAAAACACTTTTGGAACTTGTCAGTTTTGATGCCTTTTAGTGCTTCTGCAATTTTTTGTTTCACCTCTTCCCCATCAAGACTTTTTTCATCCAAGGAAACCAGAAAAATCCACTGGGATGAGATGGGATGAACAGGGAGGGTGGGTACAGGGGTCATACCATTTTTGGTAAAAAACAAAACAAAACTGCTGAACACTCAGCATGGTGTGGACAGGTATGCTTGTAAATCACCCATCATGAAATGGGCCAATGCTTGGAAAGAATAAAAAAAATTATTTAACTGAAGCTGAACACAGTCTCTCCCAACAATGCTGACTGGTACAGTGATGCTGGTGAGTTCCTAGAACACTTACCTAGAGGGGGAAACCTGTGTTACAAGGGGACCACCCTTCAAAAAGATAGTTCCAGGTTTTTGGGGGTTCCTCTTTGAATATAGATTTAGATGACAGATATAGAGATAGATGATAGATATAGCTGATAAAGATACAGATACAGAAATATAAAGTGAAGCTATTTGGGAAAGAAGTCAAGAAGGAAAGATAAAAAGGTAGAAAATATTTTTTCTTTAAAGTGACCACAGGAGAAGAACCCAGATAGAGCTATCTCGTAAGCGCCTGAAGTAACGAAAGTGAAGGGCTAATGAAAACATGAAGACTTATACCCCATTGTGGTTTGTTCTCCCAGAATGCAGGCCCCCTGACACTGGCTTGAAATCTCTGAACAGAAAGAATAAAGAGGAGGAAAGGGCGGAGCCTCTGGGGTATGCACAGAGACTTGGCCACGAGTGACATGGCAACAACGGGGGAGAAGCCCACAGCAGGGGCAGACCCAGGACGGACACGTGCACAGGATGTGGGGGGAGCAAGTTTGTTGAAAGAGGATGTCAAAGGCAGAAGGCAGATGGAGGAAGGAAGGACGGAGAGGCAGGAAGGGAAGAGAGGAGGAAAGTTTCCTAATCAGCTCACCATGGATGACTTCCAAAGCAGGGACTTCAGTTACCCACAGAGGGGACAGTCCAGAAGAACTGAACGAGGGACTTCAGGTGAGGACGCGGAGGCCCTGGGTGTAGGTGATTCTCAATCCTAGCCTTACATTTGTATCACCTGGACAACTTTTCACAAGTGCTGCCACCCGACCTGCCTCGGACCAACTGATGCAGGATTGTTGGGGCTAGGGCCCGGACATCGAGCTCCTTTAAACTCTCTGGGTGCTTCTGAGTATAATTGGGGTAGAGGATTTTATGTTTTTTGCTTTTTGAGTCAGAGTCTCACTCTGTCACCCAGGCTGGAGCACAGTGGCGTGATCACCACCACCACAGCCTTGACCGGCTAGTCAAATCTTCCATCTCAGCCTTCCAAGTAACTGGAACTGCAGGTGCACCCCACCTCGCTTGGCTAGTTTTTTAATTTAGTGTAGGGATGAGGTCTCACCAAGTTGCCCAGACTGGTCTCAACCCCTGGGCTCAGGCAATCCTCTCTCCTCGGCCTCCCAAAGTTTTAGGATTATAGGCAGAGGTCACTGCACCCAGCCCTGGGGTTGAGAATTAATAGAGAACAAGGATATGACAGCAAACAGAAAGGAGGAGGTGAGGTGGTGGCATAGAGATAGTGAAAGGTAGCAGGACATGGAGGGCACAGCTTGAACACGGCGCGGGGGTGCAGACAGGTCCTCAAGGTGAGGGTTGGAAGAGGCTGGTCCTGCAGCTGCCCACCAGAGGGGCTACAGGCTGCCAATGCCTCAGGTCAGAAAAGTTTGTTTCTAATTCTTTAAACTGGTTTAAAACAGAAAGCCTGTAACAATCAGGGCTGAGTATTATTATCATAATTACAAGGATCATGTGAATGTTTTATTTTACAAAATGAGGTGCTTTACAAATCTTAAATATTTGAGCATTCTCAAGTACTTAAATGGTTTTAATATTATATTTCATTAACACAGGGGTAAGTTTAAAACCCAGAATAAGAATATTCTTTATAATTATGCTTGAGTTGGTTGAGGAAAAAAACGTCATTCATTGGCATGTTTTCCGTTTGTTTTTAAACTTGGTTTTGTTTTTAATAAACATTAAATATCATACCTTCATCAGTGAATGTGCTAATCCCATGAGGGTTAAATGAAGATAAATCAAAGTTGCTCCCGGTGATCTTCAATTCCAACGCTGCTGGGTCTTCTTCATTCAGGTCCATCAGAAGTATTTGTCCAGGCTTATCAGGATCAAAGCTCTTTATTCCAGGATATTTTAGTCCCTTGAAAAACACAGAGGAGGAAAGGCAGGCTCATTACCAACACTTCAGATGCTATGGCAGCCAGGAGCAGTGCACAGGTTCAGATGTCTGCTCCAAACCACAGGGCTGACCACAGGCCACTGGGCAGCCTTTGGCTGGCTTAGGTGATAGGCCCCCAGGGGACTGTGGAGGTCACACGCTCTTAACTCCAAACAGACCTCCATCCCCTGCTGCAAGGTCAAGTGTGGGCTGGGGCACAGCTTCCAGCTGTGAGAAACATCATGAGTGGAAGGGCAAAACAAAGGGGCAGCTACCCATCATCTTCAGTAACATTAACAAGGAGCAGAGATAGCACTGGTGGTAGTTTTTAAGCTGTCCCCTGCCGGGTCCTTGGAAGCACCTCTGGGGTAGAGGTGCAGAGAAAGGCCAGTGAGCCCCGGGTGCCTCCTTTCTGGACCTTCAATCAGAGCCATAGAACTGTTGTTATCTATATTGGGATCCCACTCAAGATTTTGCTTGAAATTTGCCTTCCGCTGCCTAGATAATGTTCTCAAGACAGTGCTTTGCAGGATGACTAGTCCTCTACCTTCGTAAGAGAAAATTGGACTAAAAACATTCTGAGAAGCAAAGGTTTTGAATGGTCAAAAGGCTTGTCTTCTATATACTGGCAGTTCTGTCATGTTACGCTCCTAGGGCGGGTGGTTGACTTTTGTCTTGAGCTCTATCACCCACCACAGTGATCTATATGCAGGAGAGGCTCTGCAAACATGACAGATCCTCTTTCAAGGCTTGGGGATTGTGGGGTGACCTAGCAACAATTTCAAATTAAAGGACTCAATCTGAAAATTGTAAAAATGTAAAAAGTGAAATGGTGTGTGAGGGAATACATATAAACATCCACTTATTTCAGCAAATATTTGAGTATACCAGCTAAATGCCTCAAGGGATAGACAGTTGAAGGGAAGTCATTCTTGAACATGTTGCTACAATGGAAGTTAAGGATAAGAGTTTAGTGTCAACATAAGAACAAGACTATGCATAGAACAAGTCTGTTCATAATGATGACACAGGTGTAAGTGCATAGACAGTTTGTCTTTTGAGTCATGTGTCTGTCACGGGACTGCTCATTTTATTTGAAGGTAAGCATTGGTGTACAGAAGGCCCAAGTAAAAGACTTAAACTGCCAATCCTAGAAAATGTTCTAGAAAACACTCACAGAGCTAATGAAAGTCACTCCATTAGGCAGTATCTCCAAGTCTTCTGAGCCGATTTCTGTCAGGAAGAGAACAAACAGTCCCAAGGGGTTCCTGTCACTGCAGGAGGCGATGCCCCGCTTCTACATCCCTTCTCACTTGAGTGTGGAGGGGTGTGTCAGCTCTTCTTGGATGGGGCAGAATAATTCATTCTCTCACTTATTCATTCAAGTTGATGAATGGAATCATATGGAAACTTAAAAGGTGTTAATATCATTAAAAAGTAAAATTAAATTGTACACTTAATGTAATTGTTTTAAATTGATGGACTAGAACTTTTTTCTCAGGGCCCAAAACCTCTAAATTCGCAAAATGTACAAAAGGTGTGATTATTTGAAAGGAGCTTGCTGCTGCTTTTCTAAAGATATGGGGTATAACAAATACATAGTACTTACTAGTTCCAAAGCAATGAAACCGCACCAGGAATACAAGCAAATTCCAGACTCTTAAGTTCAAATGGGTGTACAATTTAGGGGATCAAGAAGATGAATGTACTGTGAATTATTAATCTTGGGAAACGATCGCTGTCTTCAAGTCAGTTACACTTTAAGTGCACTCAGAGTTTTAAAATTTCAGTTAAACTAGTGGCAAATGAACTATTCAATTTTGTATTCATACCCTTAATGGAGATGTATGCTTTTCAAACACCCAGGAATTGGTATCAATATTATACTTTTCTCAGAAAAAATATTGCACCATAATTTATCTAGCTGAGATTAATGATCTAAGTCTTCTGGTCTAGCCTTCTGAACTTTAGTCGGTCGAGATAAATGATTCTAAATAAACAAAACAAAATTTGATGAAAGCATGGATCTCAAACAAGTCATCCTCAAGTAACAAAGCTAGCTGGCTGACCTAGATGGAGCGTGTGGCCTGGGACACTCCCTGTGGCTTCTATCAGCTGCTGTTCCTTGTCCCTCTCTTCCTACTGGTAGGGCCAACCCCCGTGGGGCCCTGTGATTACTTTCCCAGCTTTCTTTGTGGCTTGTTCTCCAGCTCTGACCTACGAGATCTAAGGGGAAATCTGCTGAGAGCTTCTGGGGAAAGGTTCCTCTTGGACCTTAAAAAAGAGTTGCACGAAGAAAGGCCTGAGGTAATTGCAAAGACCCATGAGCTTTTTAAAAAATCACCCCTTGCTCCCCACCTCGTCTCCCTTCTGTTTCCCTTCTGCTGCCTCCATAGGTTAGGTGACCATGAAACCAAACATTATTCTGGCAATGGCTTTGTTCTATTGACCAAACAAAAACAAACAAAACTGCCAACATCCTGGCAGTGTGTTGATAAAGTCAAAAGTCAAACAACGTGTTGTTTACAATTAACTACTGACTTGACAGTATTCTTCTGGTTCAAAGTTTTGTTTCTGGACAAAATGCAGCAGGTGCATTAATCAAATAAATAGCAAGGTCACACTGGAAATTCAAGGGAGACCCCATCCCCTCTCACGTACGTACCGACTCCTTTAACCAAGTTGCAGTTAGGAAGTTCCACAGGTTTTACTTCTCGCAAAGCATTAAATCGTGTTCTGTGGGGAGAAGGCGAGAAAGCACACACCAAGCTACTCAGCCATTATAATTAAGTTCAGAAGCCAGCAACTCATCAAGCTCCCCTCCGCTGCACTTTGCCTCAGTTTCCATAGCAGGGTAAGCGACTCCTGGCACCTGCAGCTCCGCCAGGCAAGGCTAGCACCCAGCAGGTGAAGATCTCTGGGCACAGCCTAGAATACAAGTTTAGTAGAGGTGGCTAAATACACAAAAGAGAGACACAGTGTCCCCCGGAGCTCTGTGGCTTTGCCAGGAAGCATTTTGTTAGCTGTGCAAGGACTCCCATATGGAAGGCTGGGTTGGATGACCACACTTGGAACCTTGGAATCTGGGGTTTGCCACTGACGTTGCAGCTGGGCCTCCCACCCCTCTGCCTGATTGGCCTCCCCAGCCTAGATGGGATGTCTGCTTTCAGATGCAGTCCTTGAAAAATGCTTGTGTGTTTAAAGGATTTGGGACTCCAGAAAATCATCCCTAAGGCCTGCATGTAAGAAGGCATTCAAAAACACACATACACGTGTGCACACACATGCGCACACTTGAGCAGCTTACTGAATACAAGTGTGTCAACATGTAGGGAATGCCTGAGCAGAGGATGAAGGAGGAGTACACAGGTGTGTACTCAGGGAGTACTCAGGGCCCACAGGCTGCCTGACCTCAGCGGGCACTGAGGAGGCATCTGGAAGAAACAGGCCCCACATTACCACAGCCAAAATTGAGAACAGTGTACTTCTTTGGGGCATGGGTGATACAATGTAGTCACAGCAAGTTGTGACAGTTATCCAAAAATCCCTAGAAATCTTGTTTGGCTACAGATAGGCCGAGAACTGTGCAACTTGCCCTGCTGGTGACTTGGTCTCACGGAAGGTGTAGGTTGGCCTAGAGCTGAACAGACACTCTGGGTTCTATTCTTCCCGACATGGTATGAAATAATAGGAATTTGGGGCAATTGATCTTTCACTCCTTCATTCAAAAAATATTGGGTGTGTTCCTGCTATCAGGCCACTGGCTATCAAGTCACTCTCTAAGAATGTCTAACCTATGCGACCAGGGGGATCTGCCCTATAAAAGCACCATGGTCTGTCCTGATGTCCGACCAGAGCACAGAGTTGCCAGTGAGTTCTGGAGACATAGAGATGGGTGGCAAGGTGAAGAGGGCTCGGCTGCAAGGCGATTGCTCTTTCCCGATGGACAGACATGCACTTAGAAAGCCAATGTGTAAAAAAAAAGCCTACTCTGCCCAAGACCTGAGAAGCTGAAAGGTATTCCAAAAATGCAAATCTGACATTATAATCACAAAAGTTCACAATAAAGAAATGGAAGGGACAGAACAGTACAAACTATGCAGACTGAGACGTTAAGAAGAGCATTCCACAGGGTTCAAACACAGAGTGCATGTGCATCCCCCCCACACACACTTATAACAAAGTTCACAAAACAACACTCACTCCAGTCCACAGGATACATTCCTCGCTGTTTGTTCCATCCTGGTTCATTGATTTTCAGATGTTGGTCATGATCTACCATATTGATTTTGTTGCCCACCATGTTGAGAAACCCTGGTCTAGGAGAGGTGGGGGATATTCGTGGAGTGCCTCCAGGAAACTCAAAGGACGGGCACAGATGTAGAGCACGAAAGTTGCTGCTGAGAACAGCGTGAAGAGAGGCACAGAGGAAAAGATGCAAGATGGAAAGTTGCTGAACAGATCAAGACTTGTGTAAAACACAGAGGACAGCCAAACTGGCTTTTCTTAGACTCAAAACCACGTGGGAAGGATAAGTCCACTGCCTGGTGCCCAGGGATCTTTCGATGTGACGGATCACAGAGAACAAAGAAAGGCACTGCTGCTCGGTGCCTGTTCTAATGCGGGCTTCTCCCTCACGGGAGATGGTTTCTCACCTGGGAAAGGCAGAACCATCACAGTGAAGGGACCCCCATGTGGGAATGCGGTGTTGAGTCAGCACCCAGTTGCTTTGGGTTCCAACCTGAGGCCCAAGCAAGTCATATTGCAACAGAGTAACCATTGCTAGTTTAGCTACCAGACATATTCTTGCTTAATCCTCAAAGATCTCCCTAAGGTGTCTGTTCCTGCTTACAGATGACTAAGATGAAGTAGCTTCCAAGCCACAAAGGTAGGACGTGGCTGAGCCCGCATGGGAGCCCCAGTGTGAATGCCTAGCTGCATCAGTCCTCTAACCCAGCTGTATCTGCAGACCACACTGCTTAAAAGCTTAGAGGATACCCTGGAAGACTGGTCCACCCATGTCATTATAATCCCACTGGAGTTTTTTCCTACCTTACTCTCAAATTTTCAGAAAATGGCTTTTCAAGGGTTTGATTAAGTCAAATTATTCCAGGTCTAAGAGACAAGGTTCAGTGTCTGAGATATGTCCCTGACTCACAAGCCTATGAATTCTGTCTAGAAATCACACAGCCGTTGCTGTGACCTTGTCTTAGTCTTCCTTATGTTGCTATGAAGGAATACCTGTTGCTGAACAGGCCAAAACTTGTGAATAACACGAAGGACAGCCAAACTGGCTTATCTTAGACTCAAAACCACATGGGAAGAATAAGCCCACTGCTTAGAAAAAGGTTAATTTGACTCATGATTCTGATGACTGAAAAGTTCAAATCTGGGCATCTGCTTCTGGTGAGGCCTCAGGCTGCTTCCACTGGTGGCGGAAAGGGAGGGGGAGCTTGTGTGTGAAAATCACATGGTGAGAGAGGAAGCAAGGGGGTGGGGATGCCAGGATCTTTTCTAACAACCAGCTCTCTGGCGAACTAATGAGAATTCATGCCACTCTAAGGGAGGGCATTGACCCATTCATGAGTGACCCGCCCCCATGACCCAAACCCCTCCCAGCAGGTCCCACCCCCATCACTAGGTATTTCAGCTCACGGTTTGGAAAGAACACACACATCCAAGTTACAGCAGAACCATTGTGTGCACACACAGCTGGCTCCTTGCAGAAGAAAGAATGGTCTTCAGTTACACATTAAGAAATCCACACTGGAACTTATTTCTTGGGGCCAAGTTCACCTTTCTCCATCTGTTTTTCTGCATATCCCTCATTCATTAAGAGTCTTTAAGGGCCAACTATATGGCAAGCCCTGTGCTAAGGGTCCTCACACATGCCTCCTCACTGGTTCTCTTCAGTCAACCTTGAGGCAAACTTTAGCATTTTCCCTGTTTTGGAGATAACAAAATGCAGGCCAGTTGCTTATTTAGGCAGGCAGAGTTGGGATGTGTAGTTGGGTGCCATGATGCCAGGAGCTCATTCCCCTTATCTCTTTCACTTCACTTGTTATCTGCTCCCACTGTTCCCTCCACCTAGGATGCTCTTTGCCTCCTGATACACTGAGAAGACCCCTCTCATGATATCTGTTCTCCTGTTCTTCTGTGGTAAGAGTAGGGATGCCATTGTATATTCTCGTGGTATACAACGTCTGACAATTAGGTTTGCAAACCATCCTAGTAAAAGTGCTACATACCTCATTGCTGAATATCACTACAGTCCACCTTCTAAGTACTCCCCCTGGGAAGCCATGCACCAATGCCAGAGCCTAGTCCACCCACCAAAGCAGTTTTGGAACTCTTTTACTGAAATGGCCATCAGAGTCATCGTCGTCATTAGCTGAGGTCTGACAATCACTGACAATCAAGTTCGTGACCTTGCCACTGTGCGCTTACATTGGCAGCACTATACAAATAACTATATTGGAACACATTCCCTATTTACCTGATCTGGCTCCCAATGACTTTTTTCTTTACCTGAAGATAAAGGGAATATTGAAAAGAAGACATTTTTTGATGACATTCAGGACATCAAGGACAATACAACAATGGCTCTGATGGCCATTCCAGAAAGGGTTCCAAAACAACTTTGACGGGTGGCCTGGGCACTGGCATCAGTGCACAGCTCCCCAAGGGGAGTCCTTCCAAGGTGGCCATAGTGATAGTCAGCAATAAGGTATGCAGCACTTTTTCTAAAATAAGTTCTCAAACTTAATTCAGACCTCATATACATCTTCATGTGTACATCTGGCAAGTCTTTTACCATGTGGTTTTGTAGTTATCAGTTTGTGGTCTTGTCACTTCCAGTAAACCCAGAGATTGGTGAGTGAACACTACATCCTGTTCATCCCAACATCTCCCAGTAAGAACACAGCTCTTGCAGAGAGGAGGTGCTCGGTGGATGTCCATGGAAGTGCTGTGTGGAATTACTGGGCTAGCACAGCGGACTGAGAAGATGGTGTTGGCTGCTTGATGGGGAGACTGGAGGGTCAGAGGTTATTTGTCCTTAAGCTGAGTGTTTCAATTAAGTATAAGTATGATATATATTCAAGTATTGCTCAGCGTTCAGAGGTGGAATTTTGAGATCACATACAGCAATTATAAGAGCTAACATTTACAGGGCAGCTATCATGTGCCAGATTTTGTGTGTGTGCATGTGTGTATGTTTCCTTCTGTAATATGCATTATTATTCTTTTGAGTCAAGGTCTCTGTTGCCCAAGCTGGAGTGCAGTGGCACTATCACGGCTAACTGCAGCCTCAACTTCCTGCGCTCAGGTGACCCTTCCGTCTCAGCTTCCTAATAGTTGGAACAACAGACATGTACCATCAAGCCCGGCTATTTTTTTTTTAATCTTTTGTACAGACAAGGTATCACTATGTTGCCCAGGCTGGTCTTGAACTCCCAGGCTCAAGTGACCTCTCACCTCGGTCTCCCAAAGTGCTGGGATTACAGGCATGAGCCACCTCACCTGGCCTGCTACGTATTATTATCCCATAACATCCAGGCAGAGAAACAGACTGAAACTTTTCTTGGGTAAAGTAGTAAATTCAGGAAAGGTGCCAAAGTGAGAGCTAACCAGGCAGTCACCACAGCATGACAGGAGGCAAAGAATACTGAGAGGCCAGTGTCTGCTGCGCGGTCTCCCACAGGGGCATGTGTGAGCTCACGTGTCACAGCCAGCAATGTGGGGGT